GTTGGAAGCACTGTCTGACGTGTCTGCCTCCGCGACCCGAAAGGAGAAGCGGCGATGGAAGATGAAGATGTATAGAAAACATTTTGTGTTGACGTGTCATCGAAACGATGGTTAGCGTCTGACCATGAGTCCCATGGATGCATGATGCTACAGATGGCGTCCATCATGGAATTGCGAGAACGATCGACATTTATAGACTTACATTTTCTGTTCCTATTTATGTAACAACAACAACATCTGGACTTGCATGTTGTGCTGGAGAATCAGCTATCAAGTGGATCAGCACGAATTTTTGTCAAGAGCGACGCTCGCATCAGATAACTTGGTCGTGCCTCGTCCATTTTGTATGCTCAGACCACGCCGTTTCTCGGCTGGTTGCGCTAAAACAACATGGGATGAATTCCTTGCTGAATGGAATTAGCGATTAAGCGAAATTATTCCTTTCTCGAAATTCGAGCACAGCACTTCCAGAGTACGAAGCCAACTTCTTACCCTTGGGCCACCCCATATCTGATCAGACGGAGAATAACAGCAGCCGCTGAATTTGCTTGTTTTGTCGATTGTGTTTCTTGTTACTATTACTTCAGACATCATTAATCTGGGTACTCCGTCCTTAAATCTGATGCCGCAAATGACTTAGTGTGTACAATCTGTCAAGTCGTTTTAGAGCAGGGGCGTAATTTGTCGGTTCATCAGTTCTTGTTTTTCCATAAAATCCATTTTAATGCCCTTGATACTTTAAATGTATGTAAAAGTAGTTAATTTCTCTTAAATGAGTTCTTTCTCTTAAATTTCGTTTGTTTGTCTTAGCAATGCAAAGCATGGTTGCCATTTCAAAACCATTGTCCAACTTATTTCGTTTAGGGGCGTTTTCATTCCACTGCACATCGGTGACTATGTGTTTATTGGTGAAAACAGTGTAGTCACCGCCGCCCAAGTGGGCTCGTACGTCCGTATTGGCCAAAATTGCGTAATCGGAAAGCGCTCAGTCGTCAAAGACTGTTGCGTGTTTAAGGACAACACCGTGTTGGAGACAGAAGCGGTGATTCCGTCTTTCTCCATTGTCGCCGGACAACCAGGTTAGCCAGTCGTTCACTTTCTGTGAGCCACTTTATACAAAAATCGCAAACATGGTTTAGGAAGAATTGTTGGCACGCTCCCAGATGGTGCTCAGCAACTAATCACCGAGGCCGCCAGAATCTTTTACAACAATTTTAAAAGCAGAGAGCAGGACAAGAAAGTCACTTGACCAAAACATACTCCATTGAAGGATGGCGCTCGCTCTTCCTGTTCCTCACTTCCTCACTCGTTCGTTTCATCGAGTATCGTTTATAAATATAACAGATTATTCGAATATCTCCGCTGCTGAAGTTTGACGAATCTTAAAAGGCGGGCGAAGATGTTGTATTTGCTTTTTTGCGAAAGTGATGCTAAGTGATTCGGTTTTATTTTCAGCGAATTTCACGACTCCTGCTTGAAATTTTTTTTTCTACGGAATCCCTTTCTGTTTCGATGACATATTATGGCACGATTAATTAATTAATAGTTAGCGAAACTAACGGTTTTTCTTGATCTTTTTGAATGTAGTCAATTTTAACTATGCTAGACCGAACTGTGAGCGTTTTTTTCTGATTACGAAGCTGTCTGAGACAATCTAATCCATTGTTTGTTTCTTTGCTGTTTTGTGTTTCGATTTTTGTTATTTATGTCTTGACTGTGTATGAGGTATAATTTATTGAAAATATCGCAGTAATAAGTTAATATTCTTTACCTTACGTCTTACTAAACTATACTGTTATGCGATCATGTGCAACTTACGGTGGTATTCCGTTTATGTTTATTAAAATATCTCTCGCTGTGTCTTCTCTGTGATTAAGTTTGGAGTGTAGATGCATAAGCATCTCAAGGTTGTCGCCATTTGCGAAAGATTCAGCTGAATTTAGAACTAATGAAATTTCCAAGCTGTAGCTAGATGGTATCAAGTTCGACAGTTGTGCTTTCCGTTAATTAACTTGAGGTTTCAATTGGTATGAAGTAATAAACTGTACCATCAACATACATTTGGTTTCTTTGAAGCAGTTGGTGTAACACCATGACTGACCCCTCCTATAGTACAAGGAACAAGAAGATTCTTTTTGTACTTATTCGCAGACTGAGTGCATTTAGGACTAAACAGAGTAAACCACGATTTAATACATGATTACTTTTGTGTTATGCCAAATTTTGTCTCCTTATTTCATTGCATCGAAGACGACGCCAGGGGCCGCATAAGTGTTTCACCAACTTGGTTGAGTAAATGCGACTCACACTTCAGTCGTTTCGATGTCATGTCAGTTTTGACGAGATCTTCCCATATTGCTGAAAGTTTCCTGGTGGCCGCCTGTCATTTGGCTTTGCGACCAGTGTCCGAGGACATCATCGCAAGGTGGTTACCGTCCGTTCATCGGCAGTGGCTCTCAGATCTTAAGCGCGCTGTTGGCAGCCAGTCGGCCACTTTAGTTGAATATCCGTTAAGCCAACACAAAATTTAGTCTGTTGGACATTTCAAGGTACAATTCCATGTTTCTGATCACTGGCTAGGCTTAGCCGTTATCGTTTAGTGGCTGAATTCGAAAGGCTTTAACTAAATGGCTTATTTAAAATATAAATCTTATCAATTGAAGTGAATGTTTACTGCTTGAATTAGTCCCTTAAGGATGCGCTTGTTTTTCAGCATAATTGAAAAGCATGTGAGCGTAAATTAAATGACAAATATTAGCAAATCAGCAAATATAGTTTTGATAAAAATTTCCGTACTTTTGTAAACATTTCCAAATGCTAATACAGGTAAGAACTGACAAGCAAACCGTTGCATATTTGTGGCTTGGCGAATGACACCGGTGACTGCAGTATGATATCGAGTTGTTTTAAGAACACTGATTTCTCGACCTGTGTTTAGATGGACTATGACTCAGTCGTGAGATTGCCGGCTTGTTTTTTATTGGCGGACTTCATTTAGTGCAGTCATGAATTGTAAGAATATTTAAGTTTGTTTATGCAAAAGTGAGAAACAATCGTTTTTGATGCAGAGCGTTTCTTGTCAAAATAAGTCATCTTTGCCTTGTAGGAATGAACGATTTCCTGTTCAGATGTAATCCGGGTATTCTTGCGCTTTATAACATGCACAAAAAATATAATCTTGTGCAAAAATACAATCGAAAAACAATGCCATGCGAGAATGTAATAAACATTTAATTGCGATTTTCGTGAATCCCTCTGTTTTAGAGGAAATTGAATAGGAAATTTGGAAAATACCTAAAACAGATGTCGCATTATGTTGCAATTGCCTAATTCATTTACTTGTTTGTTCTACTGTACTTCAGGCGATTTAAGTTACCGCTAAGTTTACTCAAATCGTTTTATTCATGAGCAGCACTCCAAATGACATGATTCCTCCAAGGCTAGATTTTATGGCGTGTTTTACCGTACCTTTGCTCTTAGTTGCCTGCGAGAGAAGGCATTTATGCGTAACAGCTCTATTGTGTTTGAGCACTCAGATGTTCGTCAAATCGTTTTGTCCGCTAGTGTCACCTAGCACTCATCATGAACGATGTTTCAGGAGTTGGTTCTCCTCATATGCTGTCATACAAATATCACAAGCAGTATATCCGAGTACGTCAAGTGACGAATGATTTCTCCAGGACCAGATATTACGATGATTTCATTTTATTGCACCATAGCTTTGCTTCTAGTTATCTAGGATGACCAATGACTTGATTGGTAAGATTGGAAACTTAATTGCCTGTAAAAGTTTTCCATCATACGGACCCTCTTAAATAGTGAATGACGACTCATGAACAAGAAAGAAAAATTCACAGGATCTTTGACGGATGCAATCAGGAGATAAAAACATCTTTCAAATGCAAGTCCCGATCAAGAACAACAATTTGACCCTGAATAACCCTAACACCAACGATGCGTTCATTTATCACCTTGTGGTTAGGGGTCGATTAGGTTTTAAAATTCTCATCAATTTGTAAGCCCTCACTAATGCGATTCATTGGAAGTGAACCGTTTCCTCAGACACTATATAGTGTGACGCGCTAATACTTCTGGGTTTCGATAAACTCATTTGCAGGATGTGTGCTACGGGTTGAAGATAGCACTGATCTATAAGTTTTCTTATAGATGAATTATGGGTTTATTGATAATGAGAACCTGTGGCTACTTAGAGTTCTGATCATTCCGTAAGAAGAGTTAAAAGAAACGTTCGCAAAAATAGGCACTCATGTAAGATTCAGATATTCGTGCCATTTCTAATCTAATCAGATTGTCGCAAATCAAAGTAATGGTCTACATGGAGCAAATTTGAAACATTTATTCCGCCAAGCCTTGAGCTGGAGTTTACAATCATCAAATGAGTGTTGGTCTGTCGCCGGCTTTTGACCTGATGACAATGTATAAGAAATCGATTTTGTACTCCTGAGGTACCGGATTCCAATCATCCAAAGGGAAAACGTTTGCTTTAACTGCGAATTCTCGTGAATGAGAAATCAATCATACGCTGCTGTGGCGCAAATAGTCTACAAGCGGATTTAAAGTCGGTGATTGACAGAGATTGTATGGTTTTCTGATGTAGTCATGCCAGAATGGACGAGTTGTATGGCTATGCCGCCGAATGCGAATGCCATCTGTGGTAGCAATTAGCCTTTACCCCCCCCC